GACATTTCGAGATCATATGTGATCAGGAGGATTTTTGAAAATAGAGATATCTTGAGATTATACGATTTTTGAAAGTAGCGATATCTTAAGATTATACGTATATATATATATTTATATCATAATTTAACTTTAAATATTCATAAAAATGATCAAAATTTAATTTGAAAAAAATAAATAATATTCATTATGCCTGATGGATTTGTCGTAAATGTGCAGTAATATATAAGCGATCGGCAGCGATGAGCATTTGCATATTAGCTGTTAAATGCAATGAAAATGTGTTGATGAATTTGGTGGTACGGCATAAAAAGTCACCTCCGTACCACTGCAGAGCATCAGTAATTTTTAAAATTCAATCATTAGAGCACTTTAAATAATTGTTTTTAGGTACTTTTATAGAATGAAAAATTCGCACAAAAAAACAAAACAGAAAGCTAAAAAAACAATCATTTCGTAGCATTTACGTAAGATTAAAAATTTGATCAAAAATTAATGCCATTCTATTTTTTGATAAAAAAACATTGCAACTGTCATTTGCATTAGAAGTCAATCAAATTTTAGCTATTTGAAATTGATATTTAATTTCGAGAGTTTTTACTTACGCAATATAAAAAATTATCATATCTAAATTAGTAATAATTCATAATTTAAATTGTATGTAAATCAGTAATTATTCATAATTATATGTCCAAAAAATAGTCAAACATACGTTGTAAGCAATGATCCAAATGATTTGTGTGGGAGCATAAATATACAACACGATAAGATCTGCCACAGTTAAGCTAATCTTAAATTTAACCAATCTAGCAGCTAAGACCGGATGTCGTCTGTAGGTGGAATTGAATCTGTAAACTTTATCACAGTTATTTGATCATTTTTTGAATAAATTTGCAAGTCAAAAATTTAGAAATAATTTTTTAGACGAATATTTAATTTTATTTCTCAAATTCTTTTCTTATCTATTAATATTATTAAGACTGAATTTTATACTTCCAAAATCATTCGCTAAAGTTTACATAAAAGAATTCTTCTGATGTTCACTGTGTAAAGTTCTTGCAATGAAAATCAAAAAATATTTAATTTTTTAATTAAAGAAGTACTTGCACTGATTTTTGAGGATTATTTTTTCAGTTCATGCATGGTAAATACTTGATCTACTTTTAAAGTAGATCAATACATAAGCATAAAATGCTTTATCTACTCAAATACTGAAGCATAAAAATACCTGATCTACTTTCTAAAAGTAAATCAAGTCTTTTACCATATATAAGCATAAAAGTACTTAATCTACTTTCAAATATCAGTACATTGTGATAAACAATTCAAAAAATATTTATATCCTTTTCTTTGATTCCAGAAGCCCCGTACTATTTTGCGTATGCCATTTGTATTAGTAGTCAATTAGATTTAAACATTTCACTGTATTTTTTAGCCTTATTTAAATTTAATGTTGATAACACCGTTGGGAGAAGAGTTCTTATTTCTGCGATATAGAAAATTATCGTATGTTAATTAGCAACTATTTATATCTTAAATTTATAGTATGCTTAAAAAAATTTCAATATTTGATGAGAAAAAGATCCGAAAAAAGTATGTGTTGCTTTCTATGTGAAACTAATCTCGAAGTAAATTAGTTAAAATCCTCTGAAATCTATGAAAATATTTCCTTTTTCGAATATTAATTAAATTGTGTTTCAACATGTAAACCAGAATAACGGACAAATAATCAAATTGTAAAAGTACAAAAGATAAAATTACACGGATTTGCATGTGAAATAAAAAACGCCTAAAATTAAATACTGAATTATATTAGTATTATTTAGTCACATTTTATTAATAATTCTTGATACAATCATGCTAATATAGTTAAATATTTGAGTTCAAACGTTATTTATTTCGAATAATTACTAGTAATTTGATAACTTGAAAATTAATTTGAAACTTTGTCATGACAAAATTTTCAGTTTCTTGCAAAACTTACCAGTTGACTGAATAAACTTAACTGATAGATTAATTATTAACTGAATGAACAAAAACAAAAAACATATCAGACTAAAAAATTATTATTGTTGTAATTTTAAGAAATAAATCCTTTTAATCATTTCTATCAATATTTAAAATTACAACTATGAATTTGCCAAAACTACTGTAATTAATAAATTATTTTTCATTACTTTAAACCAAATCATAAACAATTGATTTTTTATGATCGATTTTTCTGTAGCGACCATCTTGAAGATCTGATTTATCCATGATCAAATATTTACTCAATTGATTTCATTTCTGGCAAGCAAAGACTTACTGTTATTTCAACTGACACTTCTGAATAAATTATAGAAAAAAGACTAAAAAAATTAACTTATGAAAAATACCAATTAATTAATAAATAAAAGCATTAAAATAGATATTATACCTGCGAACTGTATAACAACATACAACAAGACCAAGCAGCATAGCGAGAGCGTAGATAGCACTTTCGATGATATAACTTATCCGATCAGCCGAAAAATCATTGCTGTCATCTTCTTGGGCCATAATCTCACTTGCAGATAAAGCAGTGCGACATATTAAATGCAATATCTATTTATTATTACAAAAATAGAAATTAACTTTGAATGAAATTATGTTTAATAATAACAATAATAATTATTATTATTATTTGAAACATTTTTGATAACAAAAAATATTTTCGATTAAAAATACTTAAAATTTGCATAATCACCAAAGAATGAATATCAAAAGGCAAACAAATAAACATATGCTCGAATATATGAAAAGATAATTATCAATTAGTTATCAAATGACAACAATAATATCCTCTGATAATATATTATTCAAAAATTGAAATTAAATACCTTTATTTTAATGCTTAACTAAATACAATCTTTTATCAACAACAATTATTATCATTCCTTATCATTATTAATATATTATATTATTATTATCATTACTATTAAAAAATAATAATACTGATACTATTATTACCACTGCCATTATTATTATTATTATTATTATTGTTTTTATTACTATATCATGGTGCTTAGATCGATTTTTCAAAACTAGTCGAGCTATATGTCTGAAACGCTAAAATATTTTGGTTATGCATAAAACTTAAAAAAGCTGGAAATCAGAAAATGCTTGCTGAAGAGCTCCTTTTTCTAAGCTAATTTTCAATAGTAGTTACAAGATATTTTCAAGCGACTAAGTCAAGAAGTGAAATTAAAAAGTGAAAAAATTATTTGCAAAAAATATTTAATATTGACATGATTACAGACTTCAATAAAATATAACTCAGTAAATAGAAGCCTAGCAGATATTTCTGTTGAATTAAAGTAATTAGGCGTATTTGTCGCAACTTAAAAAAATTGCTGATTCCTTGCCACTTTTGGGTTTTTTATTTCTAATTTATTTTTTTTTGAAGGTATTATGCACTTATTTAATTCTAATACTTTGAATTATTTTAAAAAAATTTAAATGAAATTGTAAATAAATTCAAATTTAAAGCATTTAATATTTTCAATAAATTTAAAGCATTCAATATCGTTTAGGCTTAATTAGATTTGACAGTATCTTTCATATGTATTTTATTAGATTTTATCGAGTAATCTATCGTCTTCATAAATTTTTCTGCAGTATACGATAAGAATACGATAAGTATTGTATTTTTTAACAAAAAAACAAATTCTGTGAAATTCTATGCCAAAATAATTTTTCAAACAAATGAAAAACATCTCAAAATGGCAGAATTCTAAGAAAAAATGAAAAAAATCAACTCTGACTGATAATCATAATCACTGATCTGATGAGTTACAAGCATTATCTTTTCAAAAAAATTATTAAATTATTAAAGACAATAATAATTCAATTATATTTAAAAAAGACATTGTAAACAAAATCGAAAGCAAAAAAAAAAGATTTAAAAAGTGATAATAATAATAATAATAAAGTAACAATAATGAATAATAATAATAATTATAATGAATCGTATTACTATGGCTACAAAAATGTTAGAAAGTCTAGAAACAAACTTCACGTGCAATAAGTGAAAACGCTTGAAAAACAAAATTTACATGATTTTTGCGGAAATATGAGTTACTATTTCCACTTAATAACGAATTTGATGAATTTTTTAACATAAAAACATAATAGCAGCCTTTTGCAAAACAAGAACAGATATAACTCTCAAATGACTAGAAGTTTGGACAGCGCTAACTAACTCTAAAATGAGATAAAATTACTCTTTACTTTAATTAAAAGCAAATAAAAATTAAAAAGATATCGAGTAGAGGCTACTAAATTGTGCTTATATTAGCTTAATTTTTTCTGCAGAAACTTATCTTTCGACTGATTTTTAATTTATTTAGAAAAATTTCTTAGTTATAAGCATAAAATTATTATAACTGAAGGTAATCACTGTGCTAATATTGTCTGCACTAATATATATCTATTGTAAAAGAATACAGCAGTCTCTACCAGTTCCTTTTCAATATTTTTACTTGGCAGATATATTTGAGAAGTACTAATTTGTAGCGCAAATGGTCCTAAACATGAATAGATAATTGTAATTAAGCTAAAATAAAAATATTTTCAAATCCTTTCAACTCAAGAGTGTATAAATTTTGTCCAAAAGCTGAATTTGAGATTGAAAAAAGTATTTGATTACAGTAATAAAATGCAAAAAAAAATTTATAAAAATTTTTTATATAATAAATTGGTGAGCTAAG